CAGCAGCTATTGCTATAACTCATGGGTAGGCAAACTAAGGCCCGGGGGCTGGATCCAGCCCAATTGCCTTCTAAATCTGGCCTGTGGACGGTCCAGGAATCAGCGTGTTTTTACATGAGTAGAATGTGTCCTTTTATTAAAATGCATCTTTGGGTTATTTGTGGGGCATAGGAATTCATTCATTCCCCCCCAAATAGTCTGGCCCCCCACAAGGTCTGAGGGACAGTGGTCTGGTCCCCTGCTGAAAAGGTTTGCTGACCCCTGCTAACTGTTCAGGACAAAGGAAAGAGGGAAAGATAAGAAAGTTACTATGCCTTGTGATTAAGTCAATAGATGATAGTAGAAAGAAGTACTGTCATATATGGACATGGTTGCCCCTTTGCTTGTAAATGTATTGTGACAAAAGTTGGGTGGCACCCCCATTCTCTGCTGAGTGATAGCATGATCCCAGAGGTTCCAGGCATTCACCCAGGGTCTGTGTTCCATTGGAGAATTGAGACACGGTGGAGACTGTTGTAGCTTTAAAAAATATGGTTTATTCACCTATTTACACCTTCAGTCTGCATGGAGGGAGTCCAGATCTTACAGCATGGTCATTTCTTACAGCACTGCATCCATGGAATCAAAGGCATCTCTCCCAGGCATCCTGCCCAAGATGGATCCCTGCCTTTCTTCTTCCTCCTCCTTCTTCCCAGCAACTCTTGCTCAAGACTCCCTTTTCCTGTCATCTCAAACACACATCCCATCACCTTGGCAACATCTGTCTCCCCAGGCCAAAGGATTCCTCTCAGACGACCCATCAGCACCTTTTGTCATGTTAACAGATTTGCTCTTCCTTAGGCCAGTGAAATATACTCAGAGTCGCAAAGTGATTTCATGCTCTTTATTCAGCTCATAGTGGTGAGGAGGAATGAATGAAAGTCCCCTCAAAGTATCTGCTTTATATACATTATTTACACAATGGGCTGCACATGATTGGCTAATTCTGGAATTCTACTGTAAGCCAATCAGGTTGTGGATTCACTTATATCTGGAGCATGATTGGGTGGTTCCTGCCAACCAATCATACTGCTCCATTGTTCTAGGACCAATCAGACTGCTGCAGTTTGGATCCTATTCAACTCAGTACATAACAGCCAGCCAAGCTGGTTTTGCATAAGCCAGCCCAGGGATTCCCTGTCTGGCACAGCTCTGCAGTTTGTAGTTTCACCCATATCCCAATTAATCCAGTCCTACCATTTATTAATTTCTGGAGTTTGTGTGTGTGTGGGGGGTCCCCTCCCAAATCTATAACAGTATAAATGCTTGTGGCTTCTGTACAAAGTATTTGGCATGCCACTCCTCAACTACTTGCTGGTTCAGGTTGTGTCACACTGGACTTGCAATGCCTCAGTAAACATCCTGCTTGACTGACAATTGGAGTCTAGATGTTATCAGCTGTCCAAGCTGAAACCACAGGTGTAAGACATCGGGGAATCCAACTCCCCCTCCCCCCCCCACAGCAGGCTGCCAGGGATAAATAGACAGGAAAGGCTCTTACCAAAGTCTTTTATTCAATAGTCAGAAAGAGGCTTAGAAAAGTAGCCTCTTGGAGTAATAGTGTTGCTTCGAGTAATCTCCACCCGCCTTCCCTTCTCAATCATCAACAGCACCACTACCTTTATGTTGGCTGCTTAAGGTCATTTGCCTCTTAGCTCTTTGCTCTCCTACTTGCACTGCTCGCCAGGTTCTGGGAGAAGGGGGGTCTCGAATGCTTTCTAGTGATAACGTGTCAGCCAGCTGCTCTGGCTCTGCTTCTCCCCCCTCCTCTTCTCCCATGATTTCTCAGCTTTGGCCCTATCTCTGAGCCATGACCTTCTGCAAACCACTATTGTAAATCTATACTGTCTTCCTCTTCTCTGGAAGGTTCAGGAGGAGGGAGAGGTGGCTTCCACCATTCCTCCTCTGTCCAGTCTCTGACATCAGGGTATTGGGTGCTGAACCCCAATATTTCCTCAACCAGCAAAACAGTGCTGAAGAAGGTGCAGAGAAGTTGCTTCGCTCAGGCATACTCATTCTTCATCAGCCAACATGGTGCTTTCCTGATGTTGCTGGACTCTCCAATTCCCATCCACCAAACCAGCATGGCCAATAGTCTGAGGCTGGTGGGAGCTGGAGCTCAATTACATCTGCAGGACACCTAATCAGTTACCTCCACTCTACATCTCTCAGCTGTGCTGTTAGGGACTTTTTTGGTCCACCCCCTTCCTCACCAACTCTTTTAATGAACAAGAGAGAGTGCTAAACTACATCTGAAGCCATGAGTCTATGCATACTGAGAGGTCCCACTACCACTGGCAGAATATTAGGTTGATTTCGCCATCCATTAGTGCTGAAACTATCTGTGAACATCAATCTTGGCATAATAAGCATATGCCTGATCTAAACATCCAGCAAAAAGGGGCCTAAAATACAAGCAGTAAGTGGAGAGTGAATGCTCCATTTATATTTGTAGGGATGCCTTAGGTTTTCGTCAGTATGCTTAATGAGCTATCAGTAGAGCCTTATTGTGCCTGGTCAACCTTTTATGTGAGCTAAAAGGCCACATCAATTTATAACTAAATCACATTTCATTTTTCAGTGACTGAAATTGTTGAATGCCTCAGAAATGATGAAACTCCATCTTCTGTGATTTGTAGCTGTGGAAGGCCAGACTCTGCTGCTTCGGTTAATCATGAATTTGCATGGCTGAAAGGGTCTAGGTGGCAGAAGGCAGGGTGAGAACAGGGAACGGAAAAGTTTAGAATGGGCTGAATTACAGCTTGTTGAGTAATGCGCTGCTGCTGGTTTGTGAAATAAGGAAATATGTTCATAGTTCTGTTCTATTTTGACAGATTGTTGGGGAGAAAATATGTATTTACATTTTTTGTGGCTATTCCGCTGACAGGTGGTTCCTCCCCCATGCTTTCAAATTAGACTTCTGCTACATTGCTTCTGGCATATGGTGATGTGCAATCGAAAGATCCCCCAAAGAGTACATTGGAGTACACTTGCAGGATGAGTCTGGAGCATTATTTCTGAATGCAATTACATTGCCCAAAGCACAAAGGCACCTTTCCACTTTTCTTTTAAGATCCAGATCTCACCATAGCCACTAGAGAGTTGTGAACATTTGTGTCTTGGGCTTTTTAGAGCCCGTACTGTCTGAAACCAAATGGCAGCATTGGTTGTCTACCAGCTCCATCTGGTACGCAAGCTGAGACCCTACTTACCCGCAGACTGTCTCACCAGAGTGGTGCATGCTCTAGTTATCTCCCGCTTGGACTACTGCAACACACTCTACGTGGTGCTACCTTTGAAGGTGACCCGGAAACTACAACTAATCCAGAATGCGGCAGCTACACTGGTGACTAGGGACAGCCGCCAGGACCATATTACACTGGTCCTGAAAGACCTACATTGGCTCCCAGTACATTTCTGAGCACAATTCAAAGTGTTGGTGCTGACCTTTAAAGCGCTAAACGGCCTCGGCCCAGTATATCTGAAGGAGCATCTCCACCCCCATCGTTCAATCCGGACACTGAGGTCCAGAGCCGAGGGCCTTCTGGCAATTCCCTAATTGCAAGAAGCAAAGTTACAGGGAACCAAACAGAGGGCCTTCCTGGTAGTGGCGCCAGCCCTATGGAATGCCCTCCCAGCAGATGTCAAGGAGATAAACAACTATCTGACATTTAGAAGACATCTGAAGGCAGCCCTGTTTAGGGAAGATTTTAATGACTGATGTTTTAATGTACTTTTAATCCTTTGTTGCAAGCCACCCAGAGTGGCTGCGGAAACCCAGTCAGATGGGTGGGGTATAAATAATAAATTATTATTAAAATTGTTGTTGTTGTTATCATCATCATCATCAGATTTGATCCCCCCAACAGCTCTTGTACTCCACTAAGTTAGCTTTGCAAGTAGTCAGTGATGATGAGAATTATGGACCACTGTGCTGGCTACCCTTAACCTAGTTGCTTAGCTGGCTTCCCTTTGCAGAAAGTTGCCCGTTCTTGGGGGAGTGGTGTCTCCACAGTATTGGTTCTTTGGAATCACCTGATACCCAGCATCAGGAAGCTGTGTTGTTAGTGCCCTACTTGGAACTACCTGCTGTTCTTCACTCTGGCAAGTAGAATACAGAAGTGGGGTCTAACTGACTGTGTCACCAGGCAATGGGCTAGCAGCTGTTCCAAAGTTGTGTGCTGTCTTTCAACTTATCTACCCCCAAGGGTTTGAAAATATGGGTATTATGGAAAGCAAATTTCAGCAACACGTTCTTTTGAGTTAGAGGACACCAAAAGGTCAGCCGTATTCTGAAGTAGCTATCCACCTCCTTCCAATAAATATAGGAGGTTTTGTTCAAGATTCAAACGAGGCTAATTATTTACTGAAACGGTGACAAATCCACTCGGCAGCCTGCATAATTTTCTAGGCACCACAAAGGTGTGCTGTAGGGAGGTGCAACAGAGCTCTCTTCTTCAAGCGATCTCTCTGCCATCTCCATGTGATTCAGTGATTGGTGCCAGCATGTTGCCTGTGCTTTATTCTTCTGTGCCACAGAGTATGAATGCACCTGCAGGAGCCAGCTCATAGCACAGATAGATAAAATAAAAATAAACAGTACCTTGTCAAGTGCAGGGAAACTTTGAGTAATGTCATCAGAAAAGCAGAGAAAATAGTGCCTTGTGCCTCCCAAGCGCAAGACATGTTTTGTAACCTTCAAAGTTGGGGGGATGTGTGTGTTGGAGGGAGGAATACCATTGCAGCTCATTTAAAGCACTTTTAAAGCATTAAAAGTCATAGAGAGTCCTGGGAGCTGTACTTTTGCTGGCAATTGTGGCTCTGTGAGGTCAGCACTGTTAACAAACTATAATTCCTATACTTCTCTGGGGGAAAGCCATGACTGTTAAAGAGGTATAAGAGTGCTTTAAATGTATGGTGTGGGTGTAGATTTAACTTCCCCGGCAATTTATGTTGATGTACATCTGATTCACAAACCCCCAATTTCCACATGAAGATATAAAGAAAGGAGTTGTCTTTCTTCTTATTTTCAAGTGGAAATTGGGGGGTTGTGAATCAGATGGTTTCACAGTTTAGTGGGTTTCAGTATTCATACAGATGGCCAAACAAGACACATAGCAGGAACCTACACATTTTGTTTTTTCTCCTAACTAGTTGCAGAGGTGGGGAATTTGATGCTCACAATGAAGACAGCCTACAGGAAGGGGAAGCTTTTCTCTGAATGGAAATCTCAGCCTCTCCCTCCATACAGCTAGGAGTCCTAGCAGGGAAAAGCCCCCATTCTGGTAATTAAGATGAAACAAGATGTATAGCTGCCTCCTATGTATTTAAATACACATCTGGTTGGGCCCTGAGCTTTTGCCCTTGCAACAAGGAAGTACCTTCTGGGAAAGTAGCAGGCAACCCCCCACACTTTTTAGGGCTGGATAAATCCCACATGGCGCACTATTTCAGGGCTCACTCAGACTTAAGGTTCATCTACACTTCCGCATGCCTCTCTGCTTACCCCTCGGGAAAACCCACTGTTTACCTCTGAATCTGAGCAAGCATCAATTTGTTTTCTCTGGATTGATGTTTCCTCCAATTTAGTGCTAAAGAGTGGTGTCAGGGGTTCAGGAGCAGAGGCACAGGAAAGGGAGGAAATAGAGAGCGAGGGGGAGGAGTCCGAAGGAAATGTTAGCGATGACAGCGGTCCGAGGTCTCTGAGTCTTTCCAGCGAATCGGAAGATTCACAGAAAGGGCTCCCTTGGTCAGAGCAAGGGAGGTGCCGAGGGGGACACCCCAGGAAGAAGGGGCCAGAGGGGACTCAGAGAGCAGCAGTTGGAAATCAGGACCAGCGTCCACACCAGAGTGCAGTAGGGGGGGAGGGGTCCCAGGCATCGGGATCAGGCGGCGCACTGCCAGTGGGAGGACATGAGTCAGGATTGGCCACGCCTCCATCGGGGAGCGAGGAAGCGGTCGAGAGGAAGGTTGAAGGCTGGGCGCGCGCGCCAAGTTCAAATGTACAGGAGGGCGGCGCAGTTGGCAGCCCGGATAGGGAGCCAGGTCCCAAAGCCCGCCGAAAAGAGGGGAGGAGTCAGGGGGGTCAACGTCAGCGTCAGAAGAATCCAGGAAGGAAGGGACCCCGGGGGGTAGCAGGACCCAGAGGAGAAAGGAGAGACGTAAGAGGTGGAGTAAGGCTAGAATCTTAAACTGGTGTACAGGGGGCGGAGACTCAGATGGAGCTTCGCCGATCTAACCCCTAGACGTAGAGCTGGGCGCTCCGGCTTGAAAATGGAAACTGTACTTCAATAAAGACTTTTGTACATTACTGCCGGCTAGCGTTGGTCCTCTGTGAGCTGGGACCTGGAGCCAGCTCTGACAGTAAGCTCCATCTCTAAAATTTTGCACCAAAAACCTCGTAACGTGAGTGGACGCAGCGAGGAAGAAGATTGGTGCTTCGCGAGCTCACAAAAGTCAGGCAAGATGACTACAGAACAGCAACTAGCAGCCCTGCAAAATGCAGTGACACAACTCAACGCGGAGGTACTCGCATCCAGGAAAAGGGAAGAGGAAGCGGCTGCCGCCTGCAGGGATCTCCAAGCCCGGTTGGAAGTGCTTGCTAAGCAGGGGCAACCGGGACCCAAATCCGAGGGGATTGGGCTGGGGAAAAGAGGAGGCAGCCTGGTATCTCATTTCGATGGGAATTTGCAGCAGTACCCTAACTTCCGAGCAGACGTGCTGTTTGCGCTGGAACTGCTGGATAAAGACTTTAGAGATGAGCAAGAGAAGGTGGGGTTTATCTTGTCCCATTTGCATGGGGAAGCTAAAGCGTGGCTGCGCAATCTGTGGAGAGATAAGGATCCGGCGCTCCAAAATGCGGATGCATTCATTAAAGCGATGGATTCGTGTTGTTTATCAATTAGAGACATTGATCTCGCCAGAAAAGACATACATGGGCTCAAACCTGGCAGAGCCAGTGGACGGCAGTACCTGACCCGCATCGTTGCAGTAGTCCAGGCGCAGGGCTGGGCGAAGGATTCTGGCCCAGCGAGAGACCTTTTTTGGCAAGGCTTGAATGCAAATGTGAAAGATGAGATTGCAAGGGGAGAGACCAAAGAGCACTCAGGAGGTTGTCCGGCGGGCGCTGCAAATTGGGGTGCGTCTGGAAGAACGTCCATGGAACAGAGAAGAAGGACGTTGGGGACGTACGCCAGTGAGAGCACCTCCCTCTTTCCCAAGGATGCAGCGCGTGTGCAATCCCCACCTCCGCAAGGAGGGGAGAGCAACCGATGGAGATTGGAGGCGCCAGGGCTCAGTCAGCAACCAGAGCCCTAACACCGGGAGCAGTCAAGCGAAGCCTCCTAGAGGGAACAGGAAGTGCTACATCTGCGACAGTGCTCAGCACATGGCGAAAGAGTGTCCCCAGAGGCTCCACAAGCACACTGCAGCCTCAGCAACAGTAACAGACGCAACTCAGCAGAGAGAACCACAGCAGGGAAACGACAGAGTCTGGTTGGAGGAAGAGGCACTGGGGCCCAGCCAGACAAGTCAATGAAGCCGTCCCCAGAGATTTTGCAGCCCACAGACCCCCTCCCGCCCAAACCAGTGGTGCAGCTCACAGCATCGCTCCAACTACCCAATGGACTCACTATGGAAGTGCCGATTACCATTGACTCTGGTAGTAACGCAGACTTCATAGGACTGGATTTCATTCAAGAGCACAACATAGCACTCCTGCCAGCCACGCTGCCTCTGAAAGTTGTCACGGTGGATGGCAGGGAATTGCTGGGGGCAGGTGGTGCAGCAAACGCCTCCGATGGTGATGCAAATTGGGAATCACCGAGAAGTCATCAGCTTCAATGTCACCCAACTGTCGGACACGCCTATAGTATTAGGCATGAGTTGGCTGCACAGGCACAGCCCAGCATTGGCGTGGTACCAGCGACAACTGACCTTCGGCTCCTCATACTGTGCGGAACATTGCATTCTGCCTAGCCCGGAAGGGGAAGAGGATGACCCGCAGCTACAATTAGGCACGCTGCAAGCAGTGCCACTCAAGTACGCAGCGTTTTTGGAGGTTTTCTGCGAGAAGGAAGCGGACAAGCTACCTCCCCACAGGTCCTATGACTGCAAGATTGACCTCCAAAAACGCTGCCAACCGGGAAACTGTATTCCATGTCTGAAGACGAGCTGCAGGAACTCAGGGAGTTCATAGACCTCAACTTGAAGCGCGGTTTCATCCAGGAGTCGAAGGCAGTGGGGGGCAGTCCTGTATTCTTTGTGAAGAAGAAGGACACGCCCCAAAAAGGCTTGTGGTGGACTATAGAATTTTGAACTCGAAAACCAAGCCCACAGCCTTTCCCATGCCCAAGATAGATGACCTGCTCGCAACGGTGAGGAAAGGACGCGTTTTCACAAAGTTGGATCTGCGAGGGCGTACAACCTGATTCGCATACGGGAGGGCGACGAATGGAAGACTGCCATGTTCACGCCCCTGGGCACCTATGAATACAGAGTTATGCCCTTTGGATTACAAAATGGCTCCCACTGTTTTCAAGCCTTCATGCATCACGTATTGGCGGGTCTCCTCTACAAGAAATGCGTCTGCTTCCTGGACGACATCCTGATATTTTCAGAATCAGAGGAGACCCACGAGGGAGACGTCAAGGAAGTTCTGCAGAGACTGCAGGAGCACAGGCTGTACGCCAAGCTGGAGAAGTGCCAGTTCGACATGAAGGAGGTAGATTTCCTGGGCTACAAGTTGTCGGACAAGGGGCTCGCCATGGACAGCGCCAAGGTTCGCTCAGTGTTGGACTGGAAGAGCCCGCGCAATCGGAAGGAGGTCCAGCGGTTTGTCGGTTTCGCCAACTTTTACCGCAAGTTCATCAAGGGGTTCGCGATGCAGACGGCGGCCATTACCGACACGCTCAGCTCCAAGAAGAAGAAGTTCATCTGGACGGAGCAAGCGGAGCAGTCCTTTCAGAAACTCAAGCGTCTCTTCTCGTCCGAAGAGCAGCTACTGCATGTGAATCCCAGCAGACCGATGAGGGTTGAAACGGACGCCTCAGACAGAGCCGTGGGAGCAGTACTGTTGCAGCAAGACCCGCATGGGGACTGGAGACCGTGTGCCTTCTACTCCAGGAAGCTCAGCAAGTCAGAGCAGAACTACACCATCTGGGACAGGGAGTTGCTGGCCATTCATGCAGCATTCAAGGCGTGGCGGCACTTCCTCATTGGAGCCAAACACACAGTGCAGGTCCGCACGGACCATAAAAACCTGGAGTACTGGCGCACGGCAAGGTTCCTGAACCAGAGGCACATACGATGGGCGGAGTTCTTTGCGGATTTCGACTTCAGGATAGAGTACATCCCAGGCGACAACAACATCATGGCGGATGCACTGTCCAGAAAGCCGCAATACCTCGAGGAGGCGGCACCAGCAGCGGCCAAGCACATTTTCGCACCGAGCGTGGGCGTGCGCTTCAGCAACCGTGGACCTGGATGCTGTACGTCGAGCACTGCAGGAGGACCCCTTCGCGCAAGCAAAGATGGCAGAGGTGCAAAGGGGCACGGCGGAGGACGACGAGTTCCAGATACGCGACGGATTGCTCATCCGCAGAGGGGCCCTCTACGTACCGGGAGACGACCTCCGCGCGAAGTACTGCAGCAGTTGCACGACGCACCCACCGCCGGGCACTTTGGCAAAGAGAAGACGGTAGAATTAGTAGCCAGAGATTTTTGGTGGCCCAAGATGCGCGGGGAAGTCGCGGATTACGTCTCGAGGTGCGACACCTGCCAAAGGGCCAAGTCAGTGCACAAACCGCCGGCGGGACTGCTCGAACCGCTGCAGACACCGCTCGAACCGTGGGAGAGGGTGGCCCTGGACTTTGTCACGGATCTACCCAGCTCGAGGGGCAAGACGGCAGTGCTAGTGGTGGTGGACATGTTCACCAAAATGGCCCACTTCATTCCGTGCGCGAAGGTGGCCACGGCGGAACAGACCGCCAAACTGTTCATAGACCACGTGTTCAGGGTTCCACGGTCTGCCACGGTCTATCCTGTCCGACCGGGGCGACAGTTCATCTCGAACTTCTGGCAGAAGCTGATGGGTTTCCTGAACGTCAAGATCAACCTAGCGTCGGCGAGACACCCGCAGACGAACGGACAAGCGGAGCGAGTCAACGCCATCATGCAGCAGTACCTGCGATGCTACGCAAATCAGCAGCCGGCAACATGGGTGGACTACCTGCCGCTCGCTGAGTTCGCCTACAACAACACGAAGCACGTGTCCACGGGGGTGACACCGTTCTTCGCCAACAACGGGAGGCATCCCAGAACCTTCCCGGGATTAGCGAGAGCGGGGAGGGGAGCCACAGGCAGCGGAAGCCTTAGCATCAGAGTTGCAGGAGGTTCACGAACAGCTCGGAGGCAGTTAGAACTAGCAAAGCACGCATACAAACTGCAGGCTGACAAGCACAGAAGGGTTGGGGAAGACATACAGGTGGGAGACTGGGTTTGGTTAGCAGCCCAGGCAGTGCCGGCCAGATCGTTAGCGAAGAAGAAGCTAGGGCATAAGCAGCTAGGACCCTACCAAGTCGAGGCACAGGTCAATCCAGTGGCCTTCCGGTTGACACTGCCGGAGGGATCCAGAATGCACCCAGTTTTCCATAGATCAGTGCTCACGCCCTACAAAGCACCTCATAGATTTCAGGAGCCAGGAACGGCACCAGACCCGTTCAGGGAAACGCCCACACGGGGTGTGGACGCCAAGGCGGGAACCCGTCAACGAAGACACAGAGATTTTAGACTCGAGATGGGGGGAAGAGGGAGTAGAATATCTTCTCTCCAGAGAAGGTACCCCGGCCAGCGCCAACCGTTGGGTGCCAGACCATGCCTTGGACGACCCTTTTCTCATGGACGAGTTTCATGCCCTTTTCCCACACAGGCCCATGCCAGCCGAGTATTTCGACGACTGGCTTTTCACACCCACATTTTCAGCTAGCACATTCCAGGGGTTCACCTCGGACGAGGAACCGGCACTAGAAACACGTTCCCCGGAGGGATCACCCTCGGGGTCTGCCTCAGACCGTTCCTATTGGTGGGACAATCGACCAGAGGAGCAGTGGCACAGGAAGTGGCTGGGGGGTCCTTGGCAGGCAACGTCCCCGGAGGAGACCGGGGGAGACGGACATGGACGTGTTGGGGAGGACCTTGGGTTCGAGCACGGCGGCAAAGAGATGGAAGCAGAGGAAATTGAGGTCGGCGAGAGCACGGAGGACGAGCCGGACTTATCCGGCTGGATGCACGCCACGGGGGACGAACTGTATCCGGCACTCACCCCCACAACGACGGAGCACCCAGTACCCACACCGGAAGGAGGGGAGGGGGGAGGGGGGGGCTTGGGGGGGGGGCTGGATGTCCGGGGTGCTGGAGGGGAGGCACAGGAAGGGGAGGAAATAGAGAGCGAGGGGAGGAGTCCGAAGGAAATGTTAGCGATGACAGCGGTCCGAGGTCTCTGAGTCTTTCCAGCGAATCGGAAGATTCACAGAAAGGGGCTCCCTTGGTCAGAGCAAGGGGGGTGCCGAGGGGGGGACACCCCAGGAAGAAGGGGCCAGAGGGGACTCAGGGCGCAGCAGGTGGAAATCAGGACCAGCGTCCACACCAGAGTGCAGTAGGGGGGAGGGGTCCCAGGCATCGGGATCAGGCGGCGCACTGCCAGTGGGAGGACATGAGTCAGGATTGGCCACGCCTCCATCGGGGAGCGAGGAAACGGTCGAGAGGAAGGTTGAAGGCTGGGCGCGTGCGCCAAGTTCAAATGTACAGGAGGGCGGCGCAGTTGGCAGCCCGGATAGGGAGCCAGGTCCCAAAGCCCGCCGAAAAGAGGGGGAGGAGCAAGGGGGGTCAACGTCAGCGTCAGAAGAATCCAGGAAGGAAGGGACCCCGGGGGGTAGCAGGACCCAGAGGAGAAAGGAGAGACGTAAGAGGTGGAGTAAGGCTAGAATCTTAAACTGGTGTACAGGGGGCGGAGACTCAGATGGAGCTTCGCCGATCTAACCCCTAGACGTAGAGCTGGGGCGCTGCGGCTTGAAAATGGAAACTGTACTTCAATAAAGACTTTTGTACATTACTGCCGGCTAGCGTTGGTCCTCTGTGAGCTGGGACCTGGAGCCAGCTCTGACAAGTGGGTTTTCCAGGGGGAAAGCAGTGGGGCAAAGGCAAAACTACTCAGGCCCATGTCCAGAAAGCATGGGACAAGTGGGAAAATGCTCAGCCCTGTGTTTTCTAGTTATGACACAAGTGGAAGTCTGTATGAGCTCTTCATGAAAGCAGCAAAGTGTTTTGGGGTTTTTTCCACAGAGATTTTGAAACAGCAACCAAACAAATGCATAAATAAATGAATTGAGCTGTGTTTCATCTTCAGTGTAGAGGAAGCTGACCAAGCAAAGTGCATTTGGGGACATGAGTTCACTGGGGTAGGAGCAAGTTCCTCAGCTGCCAATAATCAAGCTGCCTCTGGCTCTGGCTCCACCTATCAGTGACCTCCCTGCCTTCTGCCCTACCAGTTCAAACATCTACCAGCCACCCCTATTTGTGCATTTTTCTTCTCCCACAATTCCTTGCATCCCCGTTCACATTTGAGATATTTTAACCTTTCGCCTTTCCTTAGTTTGTGCCCAAGACACACAGTGCAGGCAGGGCTAGATTTAGGTTTGATGAGGCCCTAAGCTACTGAAGGTAATGGGGCCCTTTATATGTCCAGCTGTCCTTTGTCAACAACAAATTGTCGCTGTTTTTTGTGTTGAATATATGCTATATGGTAATTTATGGACCTAATAGGTATCTTAAGCTGTTTGCATATAACAAAATATGTATTTTATCAAAGTAATTTGTTTTTTATCTTATATTTTGGAAATGTACATCCAGTTTTTGCCCCCTTTGATTTTGGGGGGGGCCTCCAAGAGAGTGGGGCCCTAAGCTATAGCTTGTTTAGCTCATACGTAAATCCAGAACCGAGTGCAGGGCATGTTTTGAGAGTTCCTTGACTTCCAAGAACAATTGTCAGACAACAAGCATTATTAAGAAATTATTGAGATTTTTTTTAGCAGCTTTGAATCTCCCTCTGTGGTTTAACCATAGGGGCTGAAAACTTAACCCCACTTACCTGGAATGGAAGTATGCCCCGCAGAATGCAGTGTGACTTACTTCTGAGTAGACATGGCTGGTAATGCAGCCTTAATACATTGAAATTGCAATCCAGAGATAAGGAAACTGGTGCCTTCCACTTGCTGTTGGATTTCAGCTCCTTTCATCCTTGACTACTGACCACACAAAGGACGTGGGTGGCGCTGTGGGTTAAACCACAGAGCCTAGAACTTGCCGATCAGAAGGTTGGCAGTTTGAATCCCTGCAACGGGGTGAGCTCCCTTTGCTTGGTCCCTGCTCCTGCCAACCTAGCAGTTTGAAGCACCTCAAAGTGCAAGTAGATAAATAGGTACCGCTCCGGTGAAGAGGTAAATGGCATTTCCGTGCGCTGCTCTGGTTTGCCAGAAGTGGCTTAGTCATGCTGGCCACATGACTGTATGCCGGCTCCCTCGGCCAGTAAAGTGAGAGGAGCGCCGCAACCCCAGAGTCGGCCACGACTGGACTTAATGGTCAGGGGTCCCTTTACTCTTTATTGACCACACTGGCTGGGACTGATTTTATACATGTTCATATATAATGACTCCTTCCTGCACTTGTCAAGCATTGCTCCTAAATGAAGGATACTCATTTCTGGGTTCTTGTTGTGCTGCTGTAGGAGGCTATGCCACCCCTTTCCATAGGCTTCCTCCCTCTACGTTTTGTTTTGCTCCTTTGGAAATGCTATCAGAAATCATTCCTCCGAATGGCACCATCAGTGAGCTGACAGTTTAATTTTGTGAACAAGGAGATTCTAACTTGTGTAGACAGTCCAGGGCACACAGCTGTACCATAAAATGTGGAAATAGCTGTAAAATTGCAAAATGTGAAAATCCTGGTGCTACTTTATTTTCCCACAAGAGCTAAAGTCAAGTTGACTTACAGTCTTTGGCAAACACCTGACAGCAAGGATAGTCCAAGTTGTAGATCTTTGAAAAGCTGAATAAGAACTTACACATCTTAAGGTGAGTCCCCTAAATAAACTGAATCCATCATATATTTATAGATTACATAGATGTTGATGAAAGAAAGAAAGAAAGAAAGAAAGAAAGAAAGAAAGAAAGAAAGAAAGAAAGATCAGCTCTGAAACAGAAGACTTGATAAATCTGCTTTATGGCTAGATCACTTTAGAGAGCTTGGACTAAAAGCAATAAAAAGCAACAGCCCACATCACAAAGTCTGTTCAGTTTGTTATTTTGTGAAGTTTTGTATCTCATAGATGAGGTCTAGCATACAGGGCGAAAGCCTGTTAACCATGGATACATTGTTATGTATATTATTTCTCAAATAAAAGAACAAAGCCATACAGTGTTTCCCAAAATGTGAATAAGCCTAGTAGCAAATAACAGGCCTGGATTTGGCTGCAGTCTCTTGGGATAAAAAAAGGACTGTGCCAATGAAAACAAACTATAACATCTCCTGAAAATTATTCCCAAGGGCGGAATTGAGATAAAGATTCTGCATGGCCTCTCCACTCCTCTCTTCTTGGAATTACTCATGGACTGCACTTAATCAAGAATAATTATAGCCCTCATAGGCCTAATTAAACAGGGTAATGAAGTGTGGTATTCCTTCTGCTTCCCAATGTGTTCAACATCATGCCTTTATCTCTGTTTCCTAAAAAACATGTTGGGCAAAAGCATAGTGGTTGAAAGAGCCTGGTCCCAGGCCAGAGAACTTGTGGCCCTCCAGATGTTGTTAGACTTCACCCCATCATCCCTAATCATTGGCCATGATGGCTGAGGCTGATGGGAGTTGGAGCCACAGACTTGCCAGTCTTGGGTTAGGGTTGCATCTCTAGGACTGGCATAAGAATTATTCTAGCAGTGCTATACCACCAGTGGTGTTAGTATTGGTAACCAGACCACATCTCCCTCAGTCCTGACTTTCTGAACTCAGGAGAGGACTGGTCCTGTCATGGCTGCTTGTGGTCTACAGTGAAGACAAGAGCAAATCCGCCTCACCATTTTAGAGAGCAAAGATAGATACAACATTAATGTTTTGATCCAGTGCTCATTTATCTAGGATTAAGATCACTGACTACATTAGGACCACGTTTGAATAAATATGCATAGGATTGTAGTGTAGGAGCAAGCATTGTGGCAAGCATTGAGGGAAAGGTTTCTGCAGGTTTCTAATGTGCTTCAGCATAAATTGGGAAGAGTTGGGGTGGAGGGTGCCTACTGACTGGCATTTATGTCTTCAAACCCATCATAACTGGCAATTTCCTGATTTATTTAAATTTTTGTAAGGTGACATTTCACATATAAATTTCCTGGTTTAATATGTTTATTTTAAAGCCAAGACTTTCTGAAGCAAGAGGAGAGGCCAGATCAACAGTGTTCAGCTTGCTGGTATGCAAGGCAAATTGTGAAGCCAGGATTGTACCATGGGTCCAGGAATTGCTGTGATTACTGTCAAATAATCAGTATTCACTTGTGAGGCAAGGGAGAAGAGAATGGGACGGTAACTTTTGATTAATATGGCAAAGGCAGTTGGCTTTGTTGTGCTCCTTGAGAGCAAGATATCCTGCCAGTGATACACGACTCAAGCTGCTGTGGGAAAGAGACTAAAAATCAGGCTGCCAAGGTAAGATGTTCTTGTCCTGCCATGATTAAACAGTGTGAATATCTATGCATTATATCTTGGTAAGCAAAACTGACAGGGACATCCTTGTTTCCATTTCTTCTCGACTGTAAATACCTATCAGATGCTGAACCTTTGCAATATCCATCATCACTCATTTAGCACAAACCGGAATTGCCTCAGATTTGTAAATGAGGCTGTTTAAATCCCCTGTCACCTTTCTGGCAACTTTGAAATTATGTGGAAGTGGATGAGTTGAACAGGCAGATTACTTTGGGTCAACCATTTTGTATATAACATGAGCTCATGTTCTGTGTTTAATGTGACAATCTTCATTTTGAGAAAGTAGGGAGATGACAATGTCTGCCCTTTGTATTTGTTCCCAGGCTCATCAGCATTTTTCTTATTATGTCAGAGTCCATCCTAGAAATTCAGCAGGAGTTAAACTGTTTTAGCAGAGCGCCGACAGACTTGTACTTCAAACTGACTGACACTCATGCTAATGCGACTACAAAATAAATATTAATGCTCGTTTTCTGTAAAACTGAGGCACAACTGTCTTGCAGTCATATCCACTGCTGGTACATAGCATAACTTCCCTACATTAGCTCTTTTCCCATGCTGAGCAATAATTCACTCTGAGTGAACTGATTATCAGGCTCACTGCTCAAGCTGCCTGGAGACGCACACTTACATGCAAACTTAAGGCCATAAATGTTGTTTTATGGGCCCATAAATGTTGTTTGCAGCTACCTGCACAGCCAGGGCCGGAACAGCCATTAGGAAGGGTGAGGCCACAGCCTCAGGCATGGACACCAATTTTGGGCAAGATTGTGTTGATTTCCAGCAAGATCTCACCAAAATCACACACATCACACTACCTTTAACAAGTCAAAGCAATGTTTTCAGTTACATCTTATATATAACCAGCGCTTTTTTCTAAAAAAATGGTTAGAGGTACTCTAATTTTCCTACTCATATTGAAATACTGCCCCTCAATGAGGCCAAACTTAGATTCACAAAATGTTTAGGGGTATGCGCACCCCTGCATACCTCCAGGAAAAAACACTGTCTATAACTGCGGTCCATTGTACGGATGGCAATGAAGATTTTGATACCAAGTGGCTGCAGCAGCTGTGATGGCACAGAATGTTCATAAACATTCAAAATGTTCAGGAAACAAAGCTATAAATGTTTGCAATCCCGTTTCAGTGAAGGGAATAGAATTTGTCTGCTTGGTTGAGGTTAAAAGTCCACACAGATACTAGATGCAGCAGCTTGGGCGGGGGGGGATAGGCTGAAGAGATCTCAAGAACTTTGGAACCTAAGGGGCAGAGATTCCCTGAGGCAAG